TATAGACTGGTAACCATCCTCTACAGGCCGCCAGCTTTGGGTTGTTTTCCTACTAAGCAGAGGCCCCTCCTGCCTTGCAAGATCTTTGCGGCTGACCTTTTTGACGTCCTTCGTAGGCGAACTGATTGAAACCGACCAGTAAAAATCCCGGGCGTGTGCTAATGGACCTGGGCGGGCGGGCAGTTCTCTCTGTACCGCAGAGATACCGGTGGGCCCACGTACATGTACATGATGGTTTTTGCCTACCAGGCTCGGTCCATCACGGACGTCATAATGATAAGGTTATAGCGCAACAATTGTACAGGGTACAAAGTATGGCATGCTGCAAAGCTACAATTTCATAAGATAAGAAACGTGATCCCACTGGGGCTAGGGTGGGCTTTCCTTTAAGGCGCTCCATCGCGATTTTGCTGAGGTTGGGCCATTTAAAATGACGTGAAAGGCTGGAGAGCCCTTACACTGCTCTCTCTTTTATAGCTCATAAAGAAACGTGAAAGCACCCAAATCACACTCGTGGGTACCGTACACGCGTTCATGAGTGATCACGGGCTTCGGTAGACATCCACACGATATGCCTCTTAATTGTGAGGGATGAACCATTTCATAGCGTAGAATGTCATGGAAACAATCTCTGTAACATGGTTATTAAAAATACATGGCTCCCAGAAAATGAGACCGGCATTTTTTGGGGACGAATATGTTAAAAGAAAATCTACGCTAAGAAAGCGAATATTGCAATTGCAGTGTGTAAAAGCCTCACTTGTGCGCTCAAAGCCACCTTCATACTGTACTCGTACGGTTCGGATTTATACATAGAGAGATTCTAAATCCTCTGAACTGTCCCGGCTTAACCTGTGTCCACGAACACATTTCCACCGAGAGTTAGACTTCAGCCATCAACTCGAACAATTTGTGACTGTGTGTATTTATCTTACATAAATGTTTTTTTTTCTAACACTAAGGGTAAAGTATAAAGTGCCGTCCATTGACAGATTCTAAATCTTATGAACTGTCCTGGCTTAACCTGTATCCATGAAGTCATTTCCACTGAGAGTTAGACTTCAGCCATCAACTCGAACAATTTGTGACTGTATGTATTTCTCTTACGTAAATGTTTTTTCTAACGGCATAATGTAAAGTGCCGCCATTTATTTTACAGCCCCTGAGCCCTTTACGGTCCGCCCCTATACCCGGCGGTAAAACGAGACAATCGCACCACTTACAGCTAATGGGCTGTTTGATCCCTGCATGACACACATGGTCCCCGCGTGAGGGGGAAACATAACCACTTTACCGCTTGACTGTGCATACAGATTCAAGTCAAGGGCCCCATTCTCACTAGGGTAAAATTGTCCGGAACCAGCCGAATTGATTCGCTTTGATCCGGCTCGAACCGGCTCAATCCAGTTCAAAGTCAGCTCGATCCGGTTTGAAGCTGGATCAAAGCGAATCAATACTCGTGCTATTCGGCTCGATCCGGACAATTTTATCCTAGTTGGAATGGGGCCAAGATGCCATCATAAGCCGGGTCCAAGCTAGGCGTCCCCGTCTCTAGAGCGAGCAGACGCTTAGCATACAAATTGAATAAGGACAGCTTTTGGAAAAGCCAGGGAGAATTACCTTAAAACCTGTTCCCGTTTGCTAGTTGTCAGTGTGGCCTTCTTTTCTCGCAAATTGAAGGATTAAATTGGTCGAATGGCAGTAAAAGGAATTGGGTCTAGCCGTTTTACGAGTTTCATTATTTGGTTAATTACGTGCAAGCATGAGCTTCGTTGATATCCTATGAGACTAAACTCTTTTAATACTTGCAGTAATAAGAAACCTAAATACGTAAAGATGGAGAGCTTATTCGGTATTAGCAATTCAGTTTACATTGGGCAATAAAAGACTGGCGCTGCTACAGTCTACCAAAAGAACCTGGGGGACCTGGAGCATACCTATTATTTTTTCATTAATAAATATTAATAAGAGTTTCTCACAATAAAAAAATATGAATGTCTACTGTCACAGTGGCGCTGTAGATTAACAGCTTTACGACGAGTGGGCGGGATCCATATTTTGAAAGCGATGACATGTGACATTGATGTAGTCTGACGACCAATCAGCGCCAAGGCATGCTGATCACATCAGTTACTGGCGGTTCTAAAATGTCAAGACAATGGCCCGTAGCTGGCTGATTTATTTACCGACAACTCGGTGTGTACACATTATGACGCGTAAAAAAAGCAAACCATAAATTTGCTACATACTCCAAGAATGCCAAGGACAAGTGTATTACAGCTTTAACATTTAGACCGTCATTACGAAGCCACAACGAAGATACAAATATAAAGTACAGGCTCAACGTAATGTTCTGGACGTTGCTTGGAATGCTGAATGCCATCCAAGAGTTTCGTTTACGAATTCAAGATCGAAGGAGGCAGACAAATATTTGACCCGAACTTAAAATTTCTCTCAGATTCCACTGTCTTTCGAGCCATACGATGCTTGTATTCGATACTCCTCTACAGCATCCATAGTAATCTGGTAATCCTAACAACACACCACTACTGTGCAACGCGTGGGCGAATGTGCGCTTCAGCATTCTTTTTGGCATTTGAACTCCAGAGCCATCGTGTGTAGTTAGCCTCAGTGCCATACGATTTGTAGCGGGGCTCCCTGCACTTTTTCGGGACAGCGACTGCATGAAACCCCGTTACAAATCGGATGGCTGAACATGTCGTCCCACACACATGGGAACACAGTCATCCTCCAGGGCGCTATATCATGACCGTGCCCAGATCCCAGGTTCATGGCTGGCACAGGAGATACTAAAAACCGATCAATGTCAACGGCAGATTCGCTAATGGCCCGCGGAGATTTCTCCGCCCTGGTAACCGCAAGGGAGTCTCTACCCAACCGATATACCGAAAATTGCAGCTGCCGATGCCATTCATATTAAACCATAGAATGTCAAATATTACAAAGGGGTAACTACTAGCATCCCATCTGCACAGGAAGGCTCTATGCCACATATGTTGAATTTGTACAGGTGTCAAAAATATTGTAAGGAAATTGAACATAAAGGTGAGAAAATGAATGAATAATTTAAGACCCCCGCGCTAAAATTCTGTTAGATAAGCGAGATGAAATGATAAGCGATATGAAATGACACCCAAGAATCAGTACGTTACAGATAGGATCTCATTTCCGCACCTGTTATAGCTATGTGTTGTGATAATGAGTAAGACGGTTGAGACAAGGGTTGATATGTCTGATAACGGAGGGATAAGTAGTGTGATAAGGTTGACGCTATGAAAATCGATCACCGATGAAGGAAACATGTCGACATGAGTGATCTCCAATATGCCGAGATGGGGTAGGGATTCTTTACGGCGTATTCGTCGGTACGATTTTGATTCTTAAGCAGGCGGTGACAGATCCAACCACCGATGATTATCTAATACAGCCTTTTCCGTTAACAAGACAGCTAAATTTTTATGCGGTGCATAACAAACAAATGCTTTCATTTTGACATGCACGATATGCCTTTGGATAGTGACATAACCAACCTCGCAGAAGGCTCTAAGACAGCCTGTTCCGTGAACATGACAGCCGTAATGTTTGTGCGGTGCGTATGTAATCATGGAAGATAACAACGTCAACCAACAAGAAATAAGCGTTTTTCTGTTTCCATTGATGCCTTGGGATAGTGACATAATCAACCACCGGCAAGGATCTAACACAATCTAAGACAGCCTTTTCCGTGAAGACAGCTGTAATGTTTGTATAGTGCATAATCAGGGAAGAACATCAACCAACAACATAATAAAAGCCTCCATTTTGACCCGTAAACGTTTTTGTGTTTCCATTGATGTCTCTGCACGGCTGGCGGAAACAGCCGTATATAGTAGTAAATTCACGTTTTACAGCTCACACTGAAGACTTACGTTGTCAATTCACGAGAAGCGTTGCCCAATCCCACACGCCCTAACCGTGCGCGCGGCTCATTCTTAACTATCCAGGCGTGAATGGCCACAGAGGCAGTTTCCCTGAATGCATTCCTAAACATAGAATAAATCTTCCGCTCCGGAAACCTTTCTACAAAGTGATAAGGCGACAGTTTTGTGGACACAAATAATTGCATGTTTTACAAGGTAGATCTACACTTCTTGAACAATTTCTCGAGAATTACTATTGCTGTTGGGGCACGCGTATAGAATTGAATGTATACCTTGTGAGGGATGTACAATCCGTCATGTATTTGTTAGGCTCATCCGGACACAATTGCAGTGAATCGTTTCCACTAAATTGTTTGAAGGATGAGGTTTGGTTGAGAAGTGCCTATTCCCTGCTGTTTTCTGGAGGGCCAGGGTTTGCAGTTTTGACGAGCTGACTCTCCCTAGACATCAATTACTACAATGTAGAAAGCAGCAGGAGAGAAGGGCTGGATGAAAAGGTACTTTAGTGCTAGTGGCTGATGCATGAAAAATGATATATCAAGAGGAGAGATAAAAAATTAAAAAAGAAGGCCTTAATCAAAATTTTGGTGCAACTATATATTTTCATCCGCGACCAGAAAGCTCCTATTGTATCCAGAACCGCACCTATCTATTTCTATGCCTGAATTGGTTCGGGTTATTATTAGGGCCAGGCACGGTTCTGGATAGTCTCCGCGTATCCAAGAACGTAGGTTGGCCCTGGATACGTGTGGACCATCTAGAACCAGGCCTGAACGTGGTTCTGGTTAAAAAGCACGGTTCTAGATACAACAGCCCCCACTCACAGCTTTACATTTGCTATCATTCTGAAACAAAAGACCGCCTAGCACCTGTCTAGCTGTAACGATTTTACCAGGCCACCAGTTGTTTCAGCTCCCTTCTGCAACCAGCAAAGAGAGGAGCACAACCGAAGGCTACGCCCCTGTTCCTATCCAACAAGCTTTATGCAATACTCCCAAGCAGAAGTTCCTGTTAACTTCCAAGCGGAAAATATCAAGGAAGACAGAGCGTTGTACTGACCTTCTGGAGACTTGCTCGGGTGCGGATCCTACCAGTGCCACCTGTTAAATGCTGCCGTCTGCGCCTTGGAACCCTGGAACCGTTCCACAGGCGGGGTGATGACGTCACGGACAGCCGGCCAATCAGCGTCGCCCAGGGAAAATTCGCTACATACATCCGTGAATAGTTTCATCAGGTTGGTAAGTCACGGAATAAAGAGACTCATTTTTACGCGACCACGAGGTTTATTCAGCCGACGTTTCGGTGATCGTCAACTCAACTCTACCGTCTGTCACCTTGCTGAGGAAAACTTCGGACGAATAAACCCCGTGTAAAAAGAGTCTCTTTATTTAAATTCGCTGCATGTTTTAACGAATCTTATGTCCTACCTGGGCCGCGATTACGTTCGATACGGGTGTTCCGGCCCGTGTGATAACTAGCGGTACAGCCCGGGGGTTCTTACCGCGTACGGCCCGGGGCTTCCAAATGTTCCATAGAAAGATTCGAACGCGTTTCGCCCTAACCGCGTGCAACGCTTTCGAAAATTCGACTGCAAAATTCGGATGTTGGAATTGACGTTGTTGCGTTTTTTGGGATTAGGGACACCAAATTTTTGCTCATTTCGCATTGAAAGGCGTGTTTTCGTGGGTGGGTATGACATAAATAAAATACAACACGGTGTATTCCGCATCACCCTCGGTCCCAGCCCTCCCGCGGATCGGATCTCCCTCCGGCCTTCGGCCGTCGGGCGATCCGACGCACGGTCGGGCTGGTACCTCGGGTGATACGGAATACACCGTGTTGTATTCTATATGTATCGCGGCGTAGAAAACAGGAGGGAATGATTTGAATTCAGCCGACCCCTGAACTCCAATGTTTGTATAAAGGTTGGTGGTTGAAATTTTGAGCAGTTCAGCCTGCGGAATCCATAGCACCCTCCCCGTAGATCTACTGAACGGTCCCATTTCAGCACATAGCACTGCTGCTGGCTGCCATATAAACCACCCAGTCCATCCATCATCCAGTGTGTAGAAACAACGCTGTAACATCGTAGATTTCCCAAGACACACTAGTATAACCTCGTAAAACATATTGGTGGTGATCTTTCTGTCAACCTCAACCATCTTACATAAATGGCTTTAGAATTTCGTAGCAGAGAGAGAGAGGGGGAAGCAAGTAAGAGGGAGTAACAAAGAGAGCAGTTAGCAAAATTACAAGTTACAACTATGATAGTAGTAGTAGAAGTAGTAATAGTAGCAGCAGCAGCAGCATCAGTAGTAGTAGTAGTAGTAGTAGTAGTAGTAGTAAAAGTAGTAATACTAGTAAAAGTAGTAGCACTAGTAGTAATCACTGAACGCACAGCTTAACTTGTCTTAGGCCATGTTGATTTGATTATATGGATGACATCCTCTGGGAACTATAGCACTAGCACTAGTAGTAGTAGTATGTGTGGTATGGATATAACAGAAACGTTCTGCCGTATGTCATTACGCCTAGTACTCGTGTGTTTCCACTTGCCGTTCACGAACACCATTAGTCCTGCACTAGTCTTCGTGGCCGGCTTTTAAGTGCCATTATGGGCGAACATGGAGCTCCTCAATTTCCCGAGGATCTGCCAGATCATTTCTGTTCTCCCCATTTCAAGTCGACCAACTTCTGAGCCCAAAAGTCATCCAGTAAATGGACCCTTCAAACATAGTGACGAGCCAGCTCTATTCGAACTATTCGAAAAAATTCTTCTGACGACATTTCTCGTGTTGAGGAATATTCGTACACACAAAATCATTAATACTAAAGTGGGACTGCAATATATGGTTTGTGTTAAGATGTTATTAGAATTTAATTTTTAAAAGGTGCAGAGATCGATATCAAAGGTGATGAGGCCATGTACTTGTAGACTGATCTGAGAAATCGTCATAAATTGACAATGAACGGAGATGAATGACGACAATTTCTTCACCCGATAAGAACGATAAACCTTCAAACGAAGCGTAGGATATTAAATACTGTTTCCTAATATTATTCTTCCAATCTCGTTGAAACAAATCTTTAACGTTATGTTGATATATTACCGAGGTTGTGTAAGTTGATGATGAGTTACATAAAGAAGAGACTGGTATACGAGGGGAGGGGGGCGCTAAGACCGACCCCGTAAGACCCGGCCCGGTGTGGGTAAGAGTCCGCGGAGAATGAGACAGACGTGACGGGCATGGGTAGAAGGTTCACACGGGTGCCTCAACGGGAGAGGAACCGCTGTATTCTGACATATAGGAGGGGAGGGTTATATATATGTGACATTCTCTAGAGCCTGTAACGTTTTCTCTGACACATATTAGCTAATATTCCAATTCTAAACTTCTGCTTTGAGATTTGAATTAACTCAGCGATGTAAATTATCTTCTGACAGCACTATGGACATGATAGAACAAAAGTACCCTCAAAGACTTTTTAGATGCCTTTCTAGATCACTTTTTCAGCAAATATGGATCACCCTATCGTTGACGTTTTGGAGTCAATAACCTCTATTTTTTCAGTTCAAATTATATCTAAATTAAATACTTTCCTATCAGCTGTCTTGCTTAATATATTTTTACAGAGGTCCGTCGTTTCTACTCAGTTCCCCCATTCTACTTCCCGCTTCCCTAGTCTGTAGAGCACTTCCGTCTCACTATTTGTAGACAGGAAGTGAAGGGTAGATATCAGAACAAATGTGATAGCCTCCGCACATGAGAGTCAAAGATCCACATGATACATGACCTGGTGCATAGTTTGTGATATTAATATGAAGTCTGCGACGCGAGTCAATGCGCACAACATTTATTTTCCGTCAAAAGATCTTAAGGCTGTCGTTTCGGCGTCTTGTTTCCATACGTCAAGACACATTCTGTCTTTATACAGTTCCTTTTCCGATAGGAAAATGTACACGTACATCAATCGACATCTAACTGTAATACTAGCCAGCATGTTCTTCTTAGCAGCGATTAGACGAACACGCGTGTTAAAATGTATGTATAAAACGAGAGCAGCCTTAGTTTCATCTTGATGTATTGGAGAGCACACTCTTTTAGACATTATAAGCCGTATCCAATAGGCGCATCCAAAATGACCTAGAAGAACTTACAGCCATTGAATATATAATCATCCCGAATGTCAGCCTAATAGCGACTCCTAGCGGGTCTCGCTAGTAGTGAATAAATTGATGTAAGACATCAAGACGCCGTAATGACATGGCAGGTACACAAATTTGATCATCAATTCTAACATCTAAAATATTATTACGGGTTCGGTTCAAGCAAGAAAGTAACCTCCTTGGTTAAAGTATTCTCTGTTGCTATGCTCAACAGTCTAGGCATCTCAACAACGCAGGATTTGAACTGTATGCTTACTAGTATGCTTATTTGTAAAATAATGTTATGTATACATAAAACGTAATTCCAAGAATACAACTAAATACTATGATAAGATATAAGCTACATTTTAGTATTATGAAGTTACATTGTAGATGTGCTCAAAGACTCGAAGCAAACCTCATCAGCACGATTCAGAATCAGTTGGTTGCACCTGCAGAAACAAAAGAATAAGTATTGAACAACGCAAATTCTTTCTATTTGAAACCGAGATCTATCTTTTCATTTTAGAGGATAGAGTTCTCTACCATCATCTCCTACAAGTCATAACATGAGACATTCTTTATAATGAATCATAGTCATAGACCAACCGACCGCTGATATTGTGAAAATAGTCATTCTTTTCTTTAAAATATATCAAACATTAAAAGTTATCAAAACCCATTGTATATATACCCTGACTAAATTTTTTCGATGACAACATCTAAATTATATCAACGAAAATCGAAATACAGTTGAATTCTGCATATGCCCGAGGGGTAGGCCGGTGATCCTAGACTACAACTCTAACAAAACTGCACTATATGGTACCAGATCTTAAAGAACTATAAAAAAAAAAGAAACGGTTGGCTGCTGCAGAGTACCTGTAGTGTATGCCCTAGGTTGTTGAGGCCGGTGAGCGGGTCCGGTACTCCTGTGTTCGCCAGCAGGATGCTGAACTCGGCCCGGTCTGAGATGGTCGGACTGGGGTCAGACAGCCACAGGAACACCTGGAGACGTTACGGGATCCATTTGTGAATTTTGGACAACATGGATTTTGGACAAAATGCCATTGAAATTCCATCTGTGTTTGTAGATGTCATTATGCAGTTAGTTTAAAATGTAATTTCCAACACGTGCCTTTACAAAAAGTTGAGTTGTGGAGTCGAAAATTTGGGAAGTCCAATTCTTTGTGTTGGAAATTACACAGTTTAAACTTACTACATAAAATGCCACCATATTGACATTTTTGCATATGTTCGATATCTGTCCTTACCTGATAGCTTCCTGGCGACACGTTGCTAGGCAACTGTACAGAGATGGGGACTGAGTGCAAAGTACCCGGATGCCAGTCACGTGGGTCTACACCTGTCACCAGCAGTGACGTCACGATGACGCTGACCGCAGAAACAAGAATGTTGAAAAACAACGAGATTAAAGACTATCGTCATCAGATGTGACGTTCTAGTACACCCTTGAGGACCTATTCATGTCAGTATGGGAGGTATTTGGATGATAAAAGAAGAAGCTGACTTTACCGATGTAGTACCAAACACTCCAAACTTCTTCTCAGTTTGAAACATTAGGTAAAGATTATTGCCAACATCTTCAGGTTTAATATTTACCATTTATAACAAGCATCGGGACAGTCATTTTACACCTATGTACTTTTGTTTGTAGAAAAAAACTTTAAAAGAGTTGGTGTTCACCTGTCCTGCTGCAGGACGATTCTGACGTCCCGCGGGTTGAAGGGTGCGGCGTACCCGACATTCCTGATCTCCAGCCGGCCGCAGAACGTCCCTCCCTGCGGCACCGCGCTGCGGTACGTACCGGACACCAGCTCCAACCGGTAACCGAGATGGAGGCCGATTCTGAAGAAAGCATTTTTGATATCGATAAATCTTGGAAAGTAATGCATTCTGCATTCATACAAGCATAGACATTGGTCTTCAATTTGCCGTGTGTGTGTGCACGCGTACATGTGTTTGTGTCTGTGTGCGTGCGTGCGTGCGTGAGTGTGTGTGTAGGCTTAAGAGATAAAGAATAGTATTTTATTGTCACCTATCATAGCAGCCTTGCTGCTTCCATTCCCCTGTGATATCTGGATGGAAGTATGGGTTCAGGTAGGACCAGTGGAAGAGAGCTAATTCCTCTTCAGCTTTAGCACAAGACGACCTGGATGAAATAATGATGATCTCAATGACGTAAGTAAAGTCGGTACGAAAACAGCAGGACTAGTAGAATAAAACATGTTGGGCTCATGAGCTGTACATTTAGCATAAGAATACTAGTATATAGATCGACAAAATTTAAATAGATGATATCTGCTAGTACATAGCAGTTCACATTGAGAGCTGCTTCTAACTGTTGCTCCAAACAATAGTTCATTACGTATCATACCGCTTGGATTTCTAAAACGACAGACAACATTTATCTCACGCATATGGTACAGAATAATCGTTAGTCGGTTTTTAAGTGCATCCAGAAGTTGAACATGTTTACCGTGGAGGGTTGTAGTTGCACGTCTCTCCGCCCATGACCGTGTACTTGGTGTCCGCTGACAGGTAGGCGTAGTCCACAGGTAGGTCTTCGAACGTTCCCCAGTCATAGTCGCTGGCTAGGAAACAGTCATTGTGATGACCTGGGTAACGCGAAGAAATCAACAGATGATAGTAAATACACATTACATGTATCCCTTATCAGTACAGTAAATTGTAGAAACAATATGATGCAAAGAGAACAGAGAGAGAACAAGTGACTAAAATTTTGGAAGAAATCTGGGTACCAATGCGAGCTTTCTCGGATCCACTGCGTGCCTCTGATTCGGTCAATGGGGAGTCATCGCCGGTAAACCTCCGTTTGTACTTCATGTACCGTATCTGGACCATTCTACAAATACATGTGAATGTATAACAGTGAATGTTAAGATGAGGTTCTAGTCATAATCAATCTACCAAAATCATTTCTGTTTTTGTAGAATAGTAAGGGGAAATGTGCATAAACTTTAAAAATGTTTCCCTGGAGGGGGTTGGAAACCCCTTCATTTAATAGAACCCTTCTCCAAATTAGCTTATACTTGTTTTTAGGAAAAGCTGTTCGTAGCTTTCAATATATCTAAACTCCGACATCTTTTTACTCATGGTGAAATAGGGGTCGAAAAGTCTAATGGATAGATTTCGAACTAGTCAGATAGACATGAAATGTAACCTTTCGTTTGGAACTGCATCCAGAATGGCTTCCAACAGGGTCCTGCGGTTGGCCCAGTCATCGTCTGTCACCAACACAGGTTCCCCGTCATTTTCGATATCAGGGCTGCTGTAGCTGTCGCTGTAATACCACTCTCCTGTAGGACATGGGGAAATGGAATTTTAGTCTGTACATGTTCTGTACCAGTCCTAGGTCATTCTTCATTAGGCAGTGCTTTCAAGAAGCAAGCAGTGCATCAAAAGCCTCTGAAGAGGTAAAACATTCCGTGTTTGTCAAAAAGATGATATATTTATGGATTTGTAAAAGAAGTGTAAAGATATGGAATATATTTACGTTGTATTTAAGCGCACTGAAAAGTCGTTAAGTCTACTGAAATATTTTCCCACCTTTAATACTCCTTTACATATTGCATTAAGTTTTGCTTAATTGCCTGTTCATGCTGTGGATATACTCAATACTCACCCCATGTTCCGACAAAGCCCGCCTGTACCACAGCGATGACGTCACCATAGGCCTGGAGATACGGCTTCAGCTGGGCCACGTGACTTAGTGCTTGTGGCAGGGGGGCGTCAGCAGTGATGCCCTGATACACGGGAGGAAGAAATATCACAGAGCGCATATCTGGTAATTTAATTAACAAAATGAAGAAACTAGAAAGGTAACATTTGAAAAGCAAAATTATAATGCTTATGTTCACATGGTCTAGCCGAACAAATGGCTACTCTGTTTATTCTTACTCAAACACATTCATATATATGGTGACAGAGTCCAACTCCGTCCTGTGACTTGCTACATAATGCGATCCAACACCACATCGTGTTTGCTATAACACCTGTTGCCATGGTGATAGACGTCTGGTCCAGGTCATTGACCTTATGCGTTTGGAGAAGAAGAAGAAACGGAGCAAAAGTAATATGTTTCCTTCTGCGACGGTAAACATACTTAGTAATCGAAGCAAGATATAATCACATAATCAACACCCACCTCTGTGAGCGTGTAGGCGAAGCGGGGGACGATCTTGACTCCGGCGGCCCGGGCGTTCTGCAGGTCCGCCTGCAGGTTAGTGAGGAACTCGGCGCTGATGTCCGAGTGGACGAACAGGTCCAGGACGTAGTACCGGAAGATCAGGGTGTGACCCTCGCTCCGGAACGTGCTTAGCTGAGACACCTGACGGTAAAGTATTTCTATATATGAATAATATTCTCCTTGAAGGTCGAACGAAAGACAAATGAGCTATCTCATACTTAATACAGTATTATGCTTCCTGAACGTGCTTAGCTGAGAGACCAGGCGGTAAAGTATTTCTACATATGTATCAAATTTTCCTTGAAGTATGAACGAAAGACAAATGTGCTGTTTCATATTTCTTCGTCGTTTCTAGTTATTCTTGTACCACCGTTCTGGTCGTGAAATATTTCTATATTTCATTTTCCGCAAAAGGCATCGTCTGACAAATACTGGCAATCAAATTTTTGAAACTCTGGAGACGGATTCGCCATGTAAAAATTCTTTAAAATCAGAGGCTTTGCTAATGTCTCTCTACCATGAGAAACACAGGAAAAGCATTTCGAGTTATACATTCGTTTTCCCTTCGAAAAAATTCTGATATGACGTAACCTGCTGTTTTGAAGGCTCATATTACCGTTAGAACTTCGAAGCCCTCGTCTTCAGTAGCCGCGTATTTCCACCAGCCTCGCTCTGGGTTGACCAGGTCCTCATCAGAGGGACTGTAGGTGTTGGTGACGAATCTGAAAGTAAACAACAAACACGTGCAACTTGACAAATATAAAGTCCATGATCCTGCCAAATATAATAACTCCGACACTACTTCGGGGTTTCCAATATATCTGAGACAAGGTCTGGGAGGGGTTTGGTCGTGGGATGTGGGAGACTAAACCTAACCTTACCCTAATCGTAAGTTTAACCCTGAACAATGATCCCAACTCTAACCCTAACTCTAACTCTAACTCTAATACCAACCCTGACCCTAACCCTAGCCCTAAACACCTGACCTCTCACGTATGTGGTAGCTCGAGGATTTGGCTCAACACCGGTCAAGGCCGTTAGAACAAGTAAGACAAATGTATACTACATATACATACCCAATAGACGGGACGGAGACGGGCTGAAACATTGCCATGACTGTCCACACGCACTGGGGACACGAACTAGCCACGTGCTGCGCCACTCCATTGTTAGCGACAGCCCAGGGTACTGCAGGGCGATGAAAAAAATTGCATAATTGTATGTACATGTAATTGTCAAAACGTTGAAATGTTTCTAATTTATAATTTTTTTCTAATATAATACTAAATAGATATATCTTCTCCCTATTCGTAACACAATATCATAGTATACGATAGTATTGCATGTTTCGTAGAATGTAATACTTTTGAGCAACATTACTTATTTTCAAAACATAAAACCATTTAAGAGCCTCAGATTTGGTCTAGGTGCTCCTGTACCCTTTTTAGGTATTTAAACATGAAGTGTCGGTCCTTCGATGTCGAAGTAAGCCATAGTTAACCTTTCGCGGTTAACGTACTATGTAACTGTTAATATGTACATGTACACCTAGTGGGTGTGTCACAGGTAACGTCAGATCAAACATGTGACAGTGAGTCATCCCCTGACAAAGTACTTCCGCTTTCGTTCTGAGAGCGCCCCTGGTTAACCACGATCAGAGAATGAGGTTTGAAAGCACAAAAATAATAAAAACTCCGTCTCTCACTTTTGACGCTAAATATGACGTTTTATTCGGACGGTATATTAGCAAAATTCTTGTTTGTAAAAGCAGGCATTATTACATTTTGAACTAAAAAAATATATCTTAGAAGCAGATTAGACATATTGAGTAAACAATTGAAAATGTGCCTGGAATATGATCGAATGTCATTATAGATTTCTTTTCAAACCTACGTGCTATTCCGTATTTGTTTTAATTGTACTTGATTTGATTGTAAAGGAACGTCACTATCCAACGTTGTAATGCGCAGTTAAATGTCATAGTAGTATAAAGAGCAGAGGGAAACGTTGAACCTTACCGGCGGGGTAGTCGCCACAGTCGGTGCCGCACGGGATACAGCGGTGCGGCTGGTCGGACCAACACTGACATCCGTCCGGGCGGCAGCAGGCACAGTCCCACCGGGAAGTGTTGAACCAGCACTGGCACCCCGTCAGCGTGCTCGTGTACTCGTCAACTGGACACAGAAACATACCACCATTTTCTCTGATAATATTTCTCTCTCGAATTCCTGTCAGGACTTATAACAACCCTCAGATGCCATAGCTTTGGATTTATGTTTGATAAAACGCGATACAGTAAAAACAGTACATTGTATTTCTGCCTAGTAAATATAAAATTGTTTTACTCACCATATGCACACCCAACGGCCAAGGTGGCCAATCCGACCAACAGTGACAACAGTGGCGGTTTCATACCGACAGTCTTGTTCAAGGGCCAGGAAACAGTATCCCCGACCTTACGCCTTCACAAATTTAAGTCCATTGCCAATGAAAAATATGCCCTAATTTGCGTACATTATGTATAATGTCAAACCCAACCTACGGTTCCGGGTCAGAGTTCAAATCGAACAGGGGTTTTCGAGTATGTGCGCGGAAATACGCCGGAATTGCGTGGTTGTCACGCTACGTTTCGCTCGGACATTTTCTACAGGTTTATTAAAAATCTTTATCTAATTATGCCGAAAAAGTAGCTTATTTACCCGTTATAGGTGGCGTGGTGGTCATCATTTCTGAAAACAGACATATAGGAAGTTAAAAAGTCGTTATCCGTTTGTTGCAAAGTTTTGCTTACGCCCGTGTACTTCCTTTCAATTCACCATATGTAAAAATAAACAAATAACAATTTATACATTTGGCCAAAAAGAAGTTTACTTACCTGCTGAATTTGGAGTGGTTGTCATTGTTTCTGAAAATAGGCATAGATAAAATAGATGACTTTTAAAAAGTTGTTGTTTTCTGCAAAGTTTTACTTACTTTCATGTACTAGTATATGTATACAACGGTTTAACTTGAAAAAATGTTATCGTACTACGAATAACAACTTACGTTCGCAGAGTAAGTCGTTCCCCACCCATCTACCGTTAACGCACAGCTTCTCTGCCTGCCCGCCAACCTGGACATAACCGGCGGGGCAGGTGAAGCTACACGTGTAGCCTGCTGGATAGGTCGCCTGTACTGCACAGTTGCTGGTGTAACCATCGGGGTGGCTAGGTGCGCTGTTGCATGGATTACCTGACGAAGAAAATTACAAACTACGTTTTCGTTTCTATTAACCCAAACTCAATAAAGTTTCTACTAGTAGATGAGCCAATGTTTAAATACACATATCATCATACTGTGCAATAACACGATGCAAGTCTAATTTACTCGTATAGTATTTTGGTAGGAAGAAAAACTACTGCTGCAGAGATTTATTTGTCAGAATCTCGTTGACATGTACATGTAATTCTTTCCTCAAGCTGGCGGCTACTTCATTTGCACCATGCATATAGCTAGCATTGTTCAATATCGATGGAGTGTTGTTCACACACGTACACATCACAAGAGCTAGAGATACTCACGTACAGACGTACAATATTTACATATCTACGCATATTGTACGTTTGAGAATGCATCTACAGCAGCGACACCTGTGCTGCAGTGCAATGTGAACCAGTCAGGATTGCCCTGAGGAAGGTGGCAGACGGTCACCGAAACGTCGGCTGAATAAAAGACTGTCTTGGTTGTGTAAAAAGAGTCTCTTTACTCAGATACTCACATTGGCATCGCAAATTGCGTCCATGCCACTTGGTCCTACGCCGCCGGCCCATGCATCTTCTTCGTGACGACCCGCCGCCCTCTTCACATCCCGCGTTACAGGCAAAAGTGCAGACTGTGTTTTGGGGATATTTTCCGTCATTACGTGGTTGTTTGTTGCATACTGAGGTTGTGTTTGGGATTCGCAGGGCCGGGCATCCTCCTGGGAAGTGTATATATACACCTCTTTATTTCATACATACTAGGCCGTGATAACTTTCGAGTATTTCGATACGGCTGCTCCGTACCAGACTACCGTATTCCACGAGTTTCTACTTACTAAGTATAATACACGGGTTTTCATAGGATAATTATAGAACAAACACGGCACTGTGTTCAAAAAGATAACTCCCCTGAGGCTAAAATGCACCAACGGTGTAACACTTTAATAGAGGTAACGTTATATAACATACTTTTTCCGTAGACAACAGTCACATAGAACATCAGAGCGGCTAAGGTGATGATTCTAAACAGAGGAAGACATAATGTACGTAAGAATATGAATTTCTAGGTGAAACGTTAAATGTATATGTTAAGTGTTGTTGGTAATTACATAAAGGAATACCAAATCCACAATACTGGACTATACAGAATATTTTTAATTATAAGCAGCATGATGCAATGCATGAATAAGCACAAGTTTGGCCAGTAAAGAGTTTCACTCATTTTGAAAAGCCTTTGAATTGGTTGAGTAACCGATCAACAACAAACCGTCACGTACGCCAGACATTAGCAGCCGCGGAATCGTTTCCACATTTGTACGCTCAATTTAATCTATTGGCTAGCCTGCGACACAAAGACGTTCTGTCGAATTTGTTGTTCGCCAGCACGTCAGCGAAGTTCGAAATGTCCAGTGAGTTGACTGCATTTTTGCCTAAAAATCTCCCGTTACATTTGACGGGCTTAGTAACAAGTAAACACAGGCCAAAGAAAGAAAAAAAAAACGAGTAGTGATCGAGAGGACTCGTCGAGTGGGCCATTTCCTTCCTCTATTGCCGTATTTCTCATAGACTGTTCCATATTTTATACATCATCTGAATGTTAACAACACCATTGCAATGATTCAGTCTTACCTCATTTTGCTATCTGTCCAAGGAGCTGCAGAATTCTTGACACGCATGAAACAGGGAAACAAGTTACCGAGTGTACCACGTACCGCCCAGCACCAACGGCAAGTCAGTCTGTTACGACTTTGGACAAAAATAAACTGGTGACGCCCGATTAATGAGTTATATGCCTCGGGCTCTTTTCACCTACAATTTTTTCACGCAGATTTTCAAGGTCATTTAATTTCTTGTTGATTACAGGACTTCGGCTGGATACAGAATGGTATAACATAACTGAAAAACATGTAGATAGGTTTGAGAGCGAAAAAAATGACAATCATTTGAGGCAGCGCTTTGAGGTCATGCTTGCGTGGGGTTTTGTTTTGCGACAAACCTTCATGTGTGTGTCAAACGTAACGAGCTCTAGTGGTATAATCACCCCACCTTGCGATTCTTGGAAAAAACGCACAAATTCAAGGTGAGACGTGCGAAATAGGTCTGAAGTTTACGGCAACATACGTGCCAGATAGAACGAATACTGAAGTGCTTCCTTCAGGTAACGCTACTAGCTTGCATGGGCCACTGTTGTCTTACCAAGATAAGGTACATCCCTTCAATTTGCTTTGATAGGATGACGTCCCGAAAACACCGACATTGACATTGACATTGAGCGGGTCAGGCAGGTCATTCCCTAAATTGTAAGGCCAGACCAAGTAATTTTTATGGATGACGTCCACTGGAGACCTTAAATTTATTTCAAAAGCGTGATAAAATACATCAAGGGCCGAAAAAAACTGATTAAGATGCATAGATTTGGAACATATTAACTGTGGAAATACAAAGGTTAGGACGCATAAAAGAACATAATGTAACAACAAACGAAAACAGCAATAAATCTCCCCCTGTTCTGATTCTTTCCTTTCATGACATCTTTTCATTACATTTTGCGACACTGTCGTGACACTCTGATCATAAGACAGTAAGCAGAATTTTTGGTAACAGTTTCTTTCCAGTAACAGTCCAAAATCAAATAACTTAGGGGGCCTAACACGGTGACAGTTCGTTAAAAAGAAAAAAAAAACATCTAGAACAATGTCCCTCTGACGAAGGCATGAGATCTCCGACCTCTAGTTATGTCTGAAAAAAGACATAGATAAATGAATAAAATAAATGACTTTTATAAAGTTGTTATTTGTTTTCTGCAAAGTTTTACTTACTTTCATGTACTAGTATGTATACAACGGTTCAACTTCAAACATATAATCGTACTACGAATAAGAACTTACGTTCGCAGAGTAAGTCGTTCCCCACCCATCTACCGTTAACGCACAGCTTCTCTGCCTGACCGGCAATCTGGACATAACCGGCGGGGCAGGTGAAGCTACACGTGTGGCCTGCTGGGTAGATCGCCTGTACTGCACAGTTGCTGGTGTAACCTTCGGGGTGACTGGGTGAGCTGTTGCACGGATTACCTGAGAAAGAAGATTATAAACTGTGTTTTGTTCATTTCACCAGTTTAGTGGGCATAATCAGAGACCTGAGTGATGAGGTCTGGCCTGCCCAGTGCGGATGAATACATGAGAAAATTAGGTCAAAAGTAGGGTTTGTTCACTGTTGTAAGACCTTGAGCTGGTCAACCCCCTGTTTTCTTTCTATATTTGGAAAGCAGACCATTGGGGCTGTCTGGCGCAGAAGAATTTTTGAGATTGAAATGTGAGAAAGCACTTTCATGGGGACTTGTTGCAGTGTATTTAACCATAGGTTCCTATGGCCAAAGGTAATTGTACTGCCTGCCCTAGAGATACTCACATTGACATCGCAGAATGCTTCCATGCTACTTGGTTCTACGCCGCCGGCCCATGCATCTTCTTCGTGACGACCCTCCGCCCTCTTCACATCCCACGTCACAGGTAAAGGTGCAGACTGTGTTTTGGGGGTATTTTCCGTCATTACGTGGTTGTTTGTTGCATACTGAGGTTGTGTTTGGGATTCGCAGGGTCGGACATCCTCCTGGGAAGTGTACATACTAGATTTTCATTTTTGCCCCGATCCTACACTAATATCTTTAGTAACTCTAGGTCTTTCACTCATTCCAACTTGTGTCTACACATTTCATGCACGATTTGCTGCTAAGTAGGAAAGTTTTTCGCATACTTATCTGTTTGTACTTCGTGTAAATTCTAAAGGTAAAGTAAAGTAAAGTGAATATACACACCTATCTTTATTTCAGACATACTTGGCCATGATAACTTTTGAGAATTTGGATACGGCTGTTCCGCACGTACTAGTTTACCGTATTCCGATCCACGAGTTTCTACTTATTAAGTATTACTATAATACACGGCAACGTGCTCAAAAAGATACCCTCCTCTTAGCGTCTTTGTATATGAATGTGATATCGACTTGACTATACTAACTGTCAGCTGGATAAAGTATTGTAATCTATGTAACGTTACCTGCTGTCCTCGTATGTATAATTGCCGACTGACGAATATCAGCCAAGCTGCCTGTAAGTTAGTGTAATGTACTGTTGCATTTGAAATAAATAAATAAATACCCTCCTCCCTGCAGGCAATTAATGCACCAAAACTTCAGAAGTAACGTTATATAATCATATAACATACGTTTTCTGTAGACAACAGTGACAAAGAGCACCAGCAGAGCGGCTACGATGATGATTCTAAACAGAGAAAGGAATAATGTACTTTAGAATATGAATTTCAAGGTGAAACATTAAATGTATATGCTCGTACAGGTAAAATATGTTAAGTGTTGTTGGTAATTACGTATTACAAAAGAAATGACAAATGCATGCACAATACTGGACTATGAGCAATTGAGCATGCAGCATACTTTTATGCAGCATATTTTTAAGCAGCATGATGCAATGCACAAATAAGCACAGGTTTGGCCTGTAAAAATTAGTTTCACTCATTTTGAAAACCTTCGAATCTTTGGTTCAACAACAAACCGTCACAACAGACACTGAAATTGTTTCCAAATTTGTACGCTCAATTTAATCTCTCGGTTAGTCTGCGCCACTAATTATATAAGACCTGTCGACTTTGTTGTTTGCCAGAACGTCAGCGAAGTTCAAAATCGCCAGAGAGTTGAGTGTATCTAAACATCTCCCCCGTTACATTTGACGGGCTCGGTAACAACTAAACACAATCGAAGAAAAACGAGTAGTGGTCGAGAGGACTCGTCGAGTGAGCCCTTTTTTCTTCTATTACTGTCTTTCTCGTAGACTGTTACATAATTGTTACATAATCTGGATGTCAACTACTCCCCAAGCAGAGGTTTGGGTTTGTGGTTATTTTTGGCGTGTTTTTAAGATTTTTTATTCGGGTTTCTCTTTTGCACCGGATTTGTTTTCTTCACCAACCCAATTAATTCCAATGCAAAAGAGAGACCCCGATAAAAAGCCTAAAATCACGCCAAAAATAACCCCATACCCAAACCTCTAATTGGAGAGTAAATGTCAACAGCATCATTGCCATGATCTTTCATTCTTACCTCATTTTGCTATCTGTCCAAGGAGCTGCCGAATTCTCGACTCGTATCAAGCAGGGAAACAAGTTACCGAGTGTACCACGTACCGCCCAGCACCAACGGCAAGTCACTCTGTTACGACGTAGGAGAAAAATAAACTTGTGACGCCCAATTAATGAGTTATATAATATATGCCTCGGGCTCTTTTCATCTACAACTGTTTATACAGATCTCCACTGAGGTCATTTCTGACGTTCAAGGTAATTTCTTGTTTCTTGTTCTTGAGGCAAAATGCTACGACAAACATTATGCTAGTGAAGAGTTTATATACCGTCACAACGAGCAAATGGACATCAAAACTGCTCTAGTGGTGCAATCAGAGTCACCTGGCGATTGTTTGAAAAAACGCACAAATTCAAGGTGAGACGTGCGAGGTTTACGTCAACATACGTGCCAGATGGAACGGATACTGAAGTGCTTCGTTCAGGTCATCCGCCCACACCACGACTGAGGGGAGAATCTGGGTCAAATGGGCGGATCACGCTTTAGGCGCAAGGATACCCGGAAGTGAGAATCCAGGCCAAAATGATCCAAAATCAATCTTCAACCGAAACAACACCACTTCTATTATTACTTTTCAGCTCGTACTAGTATCTAATATCATTTCAAAGCAGATTAGGACAAATGTGAACTCAAACTTGACTGCTCAAAACCGTTTCGTCACTGTATTATACCGCGGACTACCGCGTCGCGGAAGAACTAGGGTGTGCTCCTTCCCCACACCCCACTCGTAGACCTACCTGCTCTTCCCCACACCCCACTCGTAGACCTCCCTGCTCTTCCCCACATCCCACATCACAAGCTACTAGGGGGTTCTAACCCACATTACGTATTCCTGACAGGAAAATCTATTTGTCACCAATATCTCAAGACAGGACAAAAGATACAAAACTGAAAGTTCTGCTGCAGTACCAAGGTCATCCACCAGGAGGCCCACCCATATTTGACCTTGACCTTCGTCTTAATTAGACTTACCAGGATACCAAATATAATCACAATCCATAAAATGAGCGGAGATGCACACGCAGAGAGAGGGAGAGAGAGGGAGAGAGAGAGAGAGACGCACCAAATACAATTTTTCATGGAGGTAATTACAAAACAAGTGACCGGTACAAATAAAACACAGGTAAATGAAGGTAAGGGCACTAATAAGGAACATAAGTAACTGACAAGTGATTTCTTCTGTCTTCTTTCGTACTGCTTCTCAATCGCACACGACTGTGGCCAGTTACATTGCAGGGCCCAAATTACCACCGAATGACCAACGACCCAGATTCGGCGTTAACTCGCATCACTCGCCGCACGAGGATCGGGGTCCGCCGGTGGATCAGGCGGCTCTGGGGCGTCCAGCTAACTTTTCACCGCCATTATCCACTCGTAACCAACACTTCCGACAGTCGGCAGGTATCACAGGTGTGGGTTTCCCCGACTAGAGCGGCGTCGGGGTTATCCTCTTTGTTATCTGCTGGGTGGTCGGACTATATTATCATATCCCTGTACTCTCATGTATATATTACAGTATTTACGAATT